AAACTGTATTAAAGGAAGTAAGGCTAGAGATGAGGAAATGATGAAGAAATTCTTTTGGTAATTTAGACAAAAGATGAGACCAATCCTGACCTGGATTGGTCCCTGTAGAAATAAAAGTTGAGGGGCTGGGAAGGTGGCTCAGTGGTAGAGCGCTTGCCTTGCATGCATGAGGCCCTGGGTTCGATTCCTCCATACCACATAAGCAAAAAGAAAAAAGCCGGAAGTGGCACTGTGGCTCAAGTGGTAGAGCACTAGCCTTGAGCTGAAGGACAGGTCCCAGGCCCAGAGTTCAGGCCCAATGACTGGACCCTCCCTCCCCCCCCCCCCCCCCCCCAAAAAAAAAAAAATTGAAGTTGACAGGTTGAAGAAAACTTTAGGTACTAGAAGTGAGTATACTTACTCAAATTGAAGGAAGTAATAATAATGCCATAATTTGATGTTTCTTTTGTTAATACATGTAGAAGTATTCATACATGCTACTGATCAACTAAATGGGAAAAAAACAAAACAAAAAACAACTGTACCTCTGGATACTTTGGAGTAGCAGTTAGCCAAGCTGTGTTACATACTTTTCTCCCTTTTAATCTTTCAGTGATCCTTTTTCTGTTAGTGTTTCTAACTGGCAACTCCAGTCTTTAAAGAGGAAACCTGTTCCTTTTCTCATCATTCTCTTGTAGGACGCAGCCTTAGCTTCTTAGCTAGACTACCAGCTACTCCAGTTGATCTGATGATTAAAGAATTATAAATGAGATACTTGGATCTCCAAAATTCCACAGGACACACTAGGGCTGTCACAGCATATCAAAAAATAGCTGGGTCTGTGTTTTTGTCATGATGGGCATTGGTTATTATGCCTTTAGGCTTTGGAGAGTTGACTCCATAAGATGAATGATCAGAGAGGATTTTGTGGTTGCCTGGGTTTATGTTAATAATGATAACTTAAACAGTCCTCTTACATATGTAGGTATTTTAACTATGATTATAAAGCCAGTGTTCACAACCATGTGCTGGTTTCAAGTAAGTGGCGACTAATAACTAAATGCCCACATTTGAAATGACTTACTTAAAACCTTCGTACAATAAATTATAGCATATTGAAGATTATTTTTATATGCTCCTTTGGTCTATCTTTGTCTTGATTTTGATTTGATGGGCCTTTACCTAGTTGGATAGATATTATTGTTGTTTTATCCAAGTGTGCATTAGGAAAGAAGAGACACCTGCATACATATCATTAGCTTAATACTTTTTCTCTCTGAATCTGCTGTAGTGTGATAACTGTGGCATAGAACCTATCCAGGGTGTTCGGTGGCACTGCCAGGACTGTCCTCCAGAAATGTCTTTGGATTTCTGTGATTCTTGTTCAGACTGGTAAGTTGGTGGGTTTTTTTTTTTCTTTCTTAATTTCTGTTCCACTTTTGGCCTTAAACTTTGAAAAGTCAGGAAGTTTATGGCCAGTGAGTTTGATTTCCGAACTTCCTTAGAAAGTAGCTGCCCATAATGCACTCACTTTTGCTCTAAGAAATTGTTTTCTCTAATCACACACATCTCAAGTAGTTTTGATTAGAGATTTTGATAACATTAAAATAAGTAGAACTTGTGAGAAGGTTTTGTAATGTGTAGGCCAAAATGTATCTAGTGCTATATAGTGATGGTTTTTTTTCTTTTCTTGCAGCCTACATGAAACAGATATTCACAAGGAAGATCACCAATTAGAACCTATTTATAGGTCAGAGACATTTTTAGACAGAGACTACTGTGTCTCCCAGGGCACCAGTTATAATTACCTTGACCCAAACTACTTTCCAGCAAACAGATGACATGGAAGAGAGCATCATTTACTAGTCCTCTTCAATACACAGCAATGGTATCATTGTTAATTATGTGCACAGTTTGGAAAGATTCTCTGCTTTCCCTGAAATGACACTCACAGCATGAGAGCTTCCTGAGTGTTCTCGTCAAGTATAGCTTGGCACCGTTGTGGCTCTAGATCATTGTTCAGCAGCTGAACATTCCTGGTAAGCAAAAGGTTTCCCTAGTGAATTTTGCACCACCACCTGAAAGCCTCGTAGGTGGTGATCGTAAATGGGTGAGTTGGAAACGAGAGCACACATTAAGAGTAAATTCCAAAGGTTTCAAAGATCTTGGTCATAAATATGATAAGAAGACAAAGTATTTATATTAAAAACAGTTTAGTAGCTTTCAGTTTTGTGGAAATAGTTTTCAGTGCAGAAACTGACTTCTTTAGACAAAGTTTTAACCAATGATGGTGTTTGCTTCTAGAATATATACTCTAAAAGAACTCACTGTCCCAGTGGTGGTCATTGATGACCTTTAGTAAATTGGAGCTGCTTAACCATATTGATATCTTAACTTCTTTTAACCGCAATGAACTGTCTTTATTACCAACAGTAAAGCACTACAGGAGGCAGCTGTGTCATTGCTTCCTTAACCAGCTCATGGTGTGTGAATGTTATAAAGTTGTCACTCAGATATATTTTTTAAATGTTATGTTATATAAGATGATCATGTGATGTGTACAAACTATGGTGAAAAAGTGCCAGTGGTAGTAACTGTGTAAAGTCTCTAATTCACAACATTAATTCCTTTAAAATACACAGCCTTCTGCCTCTGTATTTGGAGTTGTGAGTGCAACTCATCAAAGAAAACTGCCTAATATAAAAATCATATATATGGTAATAATTTCCCTCTTTTGTAGTCTACACAAGATCCATAAAAGATTGTATTTTTATTACTATTTAAACAAGTGATTAAATTTAGTCTGCGCAGTGAGCAAGAGTTCACACGCATTCTTTTATACTGATGGATTTTGTTGTGCATCATTTAAAGCATTTTGTATGTTTCTTCTTAACTGTGTATACAGTATGTTCTTGAACAATGTTCATTTGTCAGGAGAACTGTGAGAAATAAACTATGTGGATACTGTCTGTTTATATTATAGAATGTTGTGGTGACTTCCTTTTGGTTAGATTAGATTTTTTTTTTTACCAGTGTTAAAACCAGAATTTTTTTTTTTAAAGTTTTACAAGTAAGTCTGCTTCTAACATACAATTAGGGTTTTCCTTACTGTCTTTTATAAAGAGTAAAAAATATAGAAAAGAGTGAACTTGAGAATGTATAATTATGGTAGTATTTTTGATCAGTGTGTGCTAAAAGAAAAAATTAAACTAGTTTACAAAAAAGAAACAGAGACTGTGGCTAAGCAAAAGACAATTATTGATTCCCAAATGTAGAAAGACTGAAGTTTTCTGTTCTCCTTGTTTTTGGTGAAAATAAGTCTCCATGGAATTAAATAGGTGGTTTCCTGGAGACCACCAGGAAATATTATTATTATTAATATTGATTAGGAAAAGATAGTATAAATATTCTAAGGTGGATTAGTATTATATTTGATCTGATTTTTAGAATCATTTATTTTTTCCTGTTTTTAAATCTAGGGAACAGTATTCAGTAGTTCTCTTCAATACATAGCAGGGCACTAAAATCGGCCCTGAACTTTTTTTTAATTAAGAAAAATAACAATTTTAATAAAGAGATACAAGAATTTTAAGTAATATACTGATTAAGATCAAAAAGAAAAGTAAATGAACTTCTCACCCTGAAAGAGGGGAATTGTTAGCGTTCTAGACATTTTAATACTAAATGTCATGTGCTATGCCAGAAGATTGGCCTGCAGCCTGTAATTTGACAAGACAGTTGCACGTGGTGATAACTTTTGTGTTTGTATGGAAATTATACCAGTTAGCTTTGGAGAACCATTCACATCTATTTAAAAAAAGTCCATAAGGTATGAAGTATGCTTTGGAAAGGACTTATGAGTGAGGCAGTTGTTACATAAAGAGAATGTACAAGCCACTTGAATGCATTTTTCAAGGGCAAAGATTAAAAGATTTTGGCAGAAAAGATTATTTTCTGCTTGAACAGAGATGTATTTATTTTGAAATTTTCGGCTCAAAGCAAGTAGTCCCCTTGTCTTTAAAAGGCATAAAGGGTAGTAGTAACATTGGAAGTGTCTTATGTTGTCTCCATTTGAGGGCTGCAGGAGTAGGTAGGTCTGTGGTTTGCAAGTAGGCCTTCTGTTGTGTACCAAGAAATATTTGGTATGGAAGACAACAGACTATAAAAGATCTACTTGTTAACACATTGCTTATTGTCAGGTGAGCTTCAGTAGATCAGATTTATTTCCTGGCATATTATACTCAAATTATATGTTAATAACTGAAGAAAATTTTAATGACATCTAAAGAAAGCTTAGGTGGAGAAGTTTCCTTCTGTGAGTAAACTCTGATAAGAATACTTACTATTTATCAAGGAATCATATAGTAGTAAGGCAGGTTCATTTATTATCCTGTCTTTGTGTGAGGAAATCTAGTCAGAAAGTTGTTAACCCACCTGCTCAAGGCCAAATAGTTAGGAAAGTGGTGATGCCTGACTTTAACCTAAACTGGTAAACCCAGACTCAGTGTCTTATCCCCACTACCTTCTTTGCCCAGCGTGAATATTCCTGTTGTATCAGGCATCACTGGGATGTTAAGAGTGCGGGTGTGCAAGAGTTTTTCATGTTTTTTTCCCCAGACATGGTGTAGTTGTTAGAGTACAAACCTGAGTATATTTCTAGGTTTGTTGCACAGGATAGAGAAGCCTATATGTGGACCGAGGGAAACCACTGAAATATCCTGCCATTGCAGACTCAACAGGTGCATGCTGTGTGCTTCTCACTTACCCGTGACCATGTCTTACCCCCACTTCCCTTTTAAGTCAAATCACAGAACACCATTTACTGAGGTGTGAGGAACATTTTTTAGAAAAGGAAATAGCAAAAATAGTGTATTACATGCAGTAAAGAGTAAGTGTTGTTTTCTGATGTTTCTTTTTCAGTCATAAATGTGAGACCTGTTATAGAAACCATTTCTTACTGTAGATGAGTTCTAGGTGCACTAGATGAATTGGGAGTCTCCAGTTACAAGTCACTTTTTCTACAAGATTATGGAGACATCGTCCTTTTTTAGGCAATAAAGTGTTGGTTTTCATTTCTTGCCTTGGTAAAAAGGTACTGAAGGGATTAAATAATCCCAGAAAAGAACTTCAGTTTTTTTTTTTTTCCAGTTTATATAGCTGCATAAATGTCTTTTTGAAAGTTGTGTCACATTTAGCTCCATGAGAACAGAGGACCATCCATGTTTGTCTGTGGCTCTAGGGCCTGGCTTTTAATAGATTGTCCATAAATAGTTGTGGTTGTATGACCAATGAGTTACACTTTTTTTTTCCCCTCTGGGAAGTTAGGTGTTGGCACCTATATCCAAGAGTATCTGTGACTCTTAATGGGCTTGGCTCAGGAGCTGAGAAAAGGGAGAAGCCATCCTACTTGTCTAAAGGATGTTCTTCAACCCTGGTGGATGGGAAAGTTTGAGTCCGGGGTGAGGCCTCCATTGGGCCATGTATCTTCAGTCTCTGTCACGTTTGTAGAGTGATTTAAATGGCAAAGACAATGGGCTGGAAATTGGGGCCCTAGTCCCAAGTTGCAGAAGTTACACTCTCAGTAAATGTTGACAGAGAGGCACCTTTCGAGTTCTAGGAACTAGTAAATGATTTACATGTCCTCTTAACTTGTCTTAATCCCCACAACTCCTCTATGAGGTTGATTTACTGTTAGGATCTCTATTGTACAGATGGGAAAACTAGAGATACAGAGAATTTAAATGTGTTCGTTCTTGGTTGTAATTGCTGTGGGTGGGTGGCACTTAGGATACAAAACCCTGATTTATGGATCTTATATATGAACGCAGAAGACAAGCAATATACAAATAAAATTTTTAATTACTTAATTTTAGGCAGAGATAAATACTGTGAGGAAAAATAATACTTGAAGAAAAATAACTGAAGAATGGGGAACACTGTCGTTTTAGACGGAATAATCAAAGCCTCAACGACAAGGGTAGATTAGAATGTTAGAAAAACCTGAATGAAGTGAAGGAATTTGCTGTCTGGATCAGGTGTTGGAAGAGGCAGAAGAATACTAATGCCAGTGGCCTTGAGCCATTAAATGCTTGCTCAGGCAACTAAGATGTTCATTGTAACTGGAACCAAATGAGCAAGAAGAGAGTAGTAATTGATGGGGTTAGAGAGGATGTGGGGCCAGTTCAGGTGTGACTTTGAATGTAGGGCATCATAATGAAGTTTGGTTTGTGTTCTGACATTTCCCATACACACATGGCCTTTTGCTAGGCCAAGATCTCTAAGGTCCTTTTCTGTCATTTCAAGCCATCCAAATCATCAGTGTGTCTTTTAGCAGCGCTTTGGAAGAGCCCTATGGATTCTTCAGGGGTTAAGCTGTTTACCTGTGCTGTTTTTCAGGGTGGCTGTCAGCTACACCTATAAGTTATATCTGGGCCTGACTGCCTCTCTGTTGCCTCATTTCCTCACGCTTGCTGTTAAAGCTGTGGTGGAGTTGGGCTATGTGGTCTGTGTTGGCAGAATGTTAATCCCTACCTATAAGAGTCATTTTATATTTTCTGGCACAAATGGTCATTTTCGTCTTTTTATCATCACTTTTCTTCCCATTTGCTCAAATACTCCCTATGCTCCTCTATGAAGAGTGTGACAAGTTGTGATAGTAAAATAACTGACAACTGTGTGAGTTATGGGAACATGCTGCACCCTTTTTGTTAATAGAGGCCTAATTGTAACCAAAGAAATTTAATTTCTCTAGCAAACACTTGACATTTATGTTTTAAGAACCAATGCTACAGAAAAAGGAAATATGAAAATTATCATGTATCACGAATACATTAAGAATTCTCTGTAATAGTCTGGCCAAAATTAAAACTTTATAAATGGATCATAAGTTTCAACTAGTACTGTGCTTGCTTCTAATTCTGTTTGGAATTAAGGCTTCAGATGCTTTTCAGAATGATGTGAGTTACAAATAAATAGAAAAAGAGTTGTCCTGTCTTTTTATTTTATTTTATTTGTGCATATCTGTTTCAAGGAAAAAAAATGACTTTAAAAATACAGTTCTGTTTCAGAAATGGATCCTTATAGTTGCACAACATTGAAGAAAAAGAAAATCATGCAAACAGGAACTATAGAAATTTGTAGTAGCTGAATGGAAGATGTTATTATTTAGTAGGATACAGAAGAAGCTCTTATTTGACAGGGGATAGCACAAAAAAGAACCCACATGTCACTGGTTTGATGCACAGTTTGCAAACCCCTGGGAGGGGCCCATATGAGACAAATGTAATGCTGGACTCTGCAAAACACCTGCTTGCTAACATGCCCTTGCCACCCACAGCAGTTTAGTTACTGTTGCTCTGTTTCTTATTTGCTTGACATTTAATAAGTAGGGCATCATCTCAAATAAAAATTATGAGATGGTATTTGTCCAGTGATTGAAAGAGATCATGCTTTTAGATTATTTTTGGATATTGATACTAATTTATAATGCACCACTGTGTAAAGTGATGACATTTGTTCTCTTAGCCATTGTGACACTATTCCAAGTAACCAGTTTGCTAGAGAATGTTATTGAAGGCTCACATGGGTCTTGCCATCTTGGAAAAGCTATACAATGGTATATTTCAAAACAAAAAAAAAAAACTTCTAGCAAGTGTTACTTGCTAGATAGGTCTATATGATATATAGACCCATTGCCTTAGTCATGCCTCTTTGGCTCTAGCCTCTAGTGATACAAATTGAAATAGCCTGCCTCCAAAGGAGGATACCTAAGCCTGTTCCCATGTTCAGGGCCTCAGGGCCTCAGGGAAGACCAGACACATCTTGGGGTGAGGACAGATGTGATAGTAATTAGGGACACTGGTAAGAATAGAACCAGATGATCAGACTCCAGCAAGGCCTAGGAGGTACAGCTGACACAGGTTGACATTACATTGTTGTTCACATACTGACATCACTCTGAGGTGTGACCTACGTGATAGAAAGTATAAGGAAAATGGACAGTTCAAAGAACCCCCATGCATGATTTCCAGACAGCACTCACACAGACTGGCCATCACATCTGGATATGGGAGACACAAAAGGCTTAACTTGAAACTCAAGGGGTGAACTTTTGAATGTATATTTCCAATCTTAGCAGACATTCATTTTTGTCTTCGTTCACTTTTGCCTTCAGAAAATAGAGTCAATAGCTGTGCAGAGTTGAAGAAAAACTTCTTCTGGTGTTCCTTCTGCATTTATCTGTTTGGAAGGAAAAAAACAGTCTCACAACATGTTTAAGTCAGGCTGTGTTTCAACAAATAGATTTTGTTCGGCAAAATTTTAAAACATGCCCCTCCCCCCATAAAACAGGGAAGTGATGAGTAATGGCTTAAGAAGTTGATGCTTAAGTTAAAACATGAAAACATCAGTCAGGTAATGAGAATTATTTCTTTTTTGGACAATGTCACCCCTTCCCTGGCTCTCTCCCAGGTTTTCCCTCCCATCCCTGCCCACAAAGGTGTATTGTTCATTTTCAATGTGTCTTGTGAATACCACTGCTGCATCTGTTAACTCTGTTCCTCCATTTTCATGTTCCCCCCAAAGACATAAATGATGAAAAGAAAAACTCTTGAATTCATTATTTCCTGATGTTCCGCTCCTTTAGCCTCAGTTGAAGTATCTAGACACAGTCTTCAGTATGTACCCAATTATTTGAATACTTACCCACATAAAGCCTTCACATGGATGTTTATAGCAGTTAAATTCATAAAGTGATCAAGATACCATTCAGTATTTGAGTGAATAAATGAACTAATACTAGAAAATGGAATACAATTGAGTGCTGGGGGAAAAATGAGCAATGTGGAAAGATGGGGAACTTAAAATGCATTATCACTGATAGAAGCTAGTCTGAAAATTGACAGTATGTTATAGTTCCAACTAGTAGGAAGTTCTGTAAAAAAATAATGTAGATAGTAAAGTGATCAGTGTCAAGGTTGAGGGAAAAGAGAAGGATAAATAGAAGGAATTGAGAATTTTTAGAAGATGAGGTTAGAATACATAACTTTTTTTTTTTTGTCGGTCATGGGGGCTTGAATCTGGGGCTGTATACTGTCCCTCAGCTCTTCAGCTCAAGGCTAGCACCCTACTACTGAGCCACAGCACCACTTCCGGCTTTTTTCTGTTTATGTGGTGCTGAGGAATTGAACCCAGGACCTCTACTGCTGAGCCAACTCCCAGCCCAATACATAATCTTTTAAATTGGTACAAACTTACCCAGTATACAACATTAAAAGAGTGCTGATTAGCTAGGCACTGATGGCTCACGCCTGCAATCCTAATTACTATCTGAGGATTGTGGTTTGAAGCTAGCCCAGGCAAGAAATTCTGTAAGACTCTTATCTCTAGTTAGCCAACAATATATGGAAGAGATTTGGCTCAACTGGTAGAGTGCTTAGCCTTGAGAGTAGAAGCCAAGTGAGATAACAAGACAGTTCAAGTCCCAGTAATGGCATATTTAAAAAAATGGTATAAATCAGAGTGGGAATATTGGCTCTAAAAATTGTTTGACACATGGGACAGATTCATGTGCTTCCCGCCACCCATTTGCTTGTTCTGATAATTTTATATGGCCCAGAAATGTTATAAATATTCAAATGGCCCTTGGTAGGAAAAAGTATCAGTGTAGATTGTAACACATGTACCACTCTGGTAAGGAATGTTTACAGTTGGAGACAGGTGTATGGGGGTATTTTATGTTAAATTTTGCTTTGAACCTAAGACTGCTCTAAAGTATAAATTAAAAACAATAGCAACATCCAAGTGGCTGGCGGTTCATGCCTGTAATCCTCGCTACTCAGGAGGCTGAGATCTTAGATTGTGGTTCGAAGCCAGCCCAGGCAAGGAAGTTTGTGAGACTCTCTTAATTATACCCCAAAGGCTGAAAGCTGTGGCTCAAGTGGTAAAATGGAAGCTTTGAGCACAAAAGCTCAGGGACAGCACTCAGGCCCTGAGTTCAAGCCCAGGACCACCACTAGAAAACAAAACATCCTACAAAACCCATTAACAACCAAAAAACTGGTGTCTGAGTAAAACATTGTTACAGGAAAAAGGAGACTGGCATTACTTCAAATGAGACCTCTGAATATTGTGAAGCATTTGGAGCAAGGTGGGAAAAGGGCTGCGATGGCAGAGAAGTAGAGGGAAGAGGGACAGGAGTGTGGAGAAGGTCAGCATCTGCCTAGAGATAGTTATTCCAAGGAGCCAGTGACAGGAAGTATGAAGGAGCCTGAAGGCACTACCCTTTCCTCTTTCCTAACACCAGCCAAATGCTGAGATTGAAGGAAGCCTGAGCAGCACAGAAGTACCCTGTATGCCAGAGTGATGCTGGGGACACAGGCATCTCTTTCATCACAGGACCGTTGTCATCAGGTAGTCTCCAGGCTAACTATAGGAAAGCTGATGTGCAGAAGGCCACTTGAAGAGGAGGCACACCTGCCATCCCGCTACCCACCTGGGTAAGTGGTAGGCCTTTGTCATGGCCTAACAGCTTCTTCAACACATTCAAACTAGCTACAATTCACTACAAAATTCAACTTTTCTTGGCTAGCTAGAACCCAGCATTAGCACAAAGCACTGTGTATTATTATTGTTGTTGTTATTATTAACAGACTGGGTTTATTTTACTTTATATATTGCCAAGGAATCGAACGCAGGGCCTCGTGCATGCTAGGCAAGCACTAAGCTACATTCCTAGTCCCTGTGTGTCATTATTATTAAAGAAAAATAATTCAATGTTACTTGCAAAAGCATGACAAAGACTATTCAGGACCACTGCAATAGGCATCGAAGCCACAGCAATGGCACTTTGCAATGAGACAGATTGGTCTTCATTTTGAATAAAGCTTGGGCCTGTGGGAATTAATATTTAGGGAGCAATACAGGGTCTATATACAAAACTACTAAGCTGTAGTCCTTATTGAAGACAAGCTAGGGTGGATGAGACACTCCTGGAGGCTAGCAAGGTGAAGAATGTGGTCAGTGAGCTGGAGTGAGCATATGTGGCAGGTGGGCAGGGGTGGGGTGAACGGGGCTTGCTATAATTTGGCAGGGTTCTCTGTGAAAACTGGTTTTAGTAATCACGTGTACACAGAGGCCTGAAGGTCGTGGGGCCTGAACTCTGGGCCTGGGCGCTGTCCCTCAGCTCTTCAGCTCAAGGCTAGCTCTCTACCACTTGAGCCACAGTGCCACTTCTGGCTTTTTTTCTTTTTGCTTATGTGGTGCTGAGGAATCGAATCCAGGGCCTCAGGCATGCAAGGCAAGCACTCTACCACTGAGCCACCTTCCCAGCCCCACACAGTAAGTTCTGAGGACAGGGTCATTACTCAGCATTGAATTCCTCAAAGCCTGTGGTTGTAGGTATATAGAGGGAAAACAAAAGTTTGAGTAAAAAAATGTGTCTTCTCTGTCCATATTCCTTCTTTCCTCATGGAAATGAGCTGCCTAGAGCAGAAAGTTGCTCCTGGAACTCATTTTTTAGGTCCGTATCCAGGGCATCATGGAAGGATAAAGGAGTTTCTCTATGGAAAGCCTGCAACTTGGTTTCTGCAGAGGCCAACTGAGGCAGCGCCTACAAGGCAAGGCTTGTGCTTTTCTGATGGCCAGGAGGCTCTCAGTGTGGTCTCCCCAACCAGGCCACTCTGGTCTTTTGAGAGAAGCTATGGTTGGACCCCTTGAGCTTTCATTGGACCACATCTGTGTCCACCCAGCACCTCCCCCCTTGTGAAATAAGGAGATTTATTTAATTAAAACAACAACAAAAACCCCTGCTCCATCAAATACATGTGCTGTGGTGTTTGTGAGGGCCAAAGACTAAGAGATTTAAAGACAAAAATCAATCAAGTGGCCAGGTGTCAGTGGCTCAGTCCTGTAATCCTACCTACCCAGGAGACAGAGATTTGAGGATTGCAGTTTGAAGCCAGCCTGGGCAGGAAAGTCCTTGAGACTCTTATTCTCCAATTAACCATCAAAAAAGCTGGAAGTTGTGATTCAAGAGGCAGAATGCTAGTCTTGAGTAAAAAGATTCAGACACTGTGTCCAGGCCTGTGTTCAAGCTCTAGGACTGGTGCATATATGTGTGGGCACACAGAGCCTTTTTCTTTTCTTTCTTCCCCTCCATTTTCTTTCTCCCTTCCCTTCTTCCTTCTCTCTTTCCCTCCTTTCCTCTCTATTTTTTTTTTAAATGCAGATCCTGAGGGCTTGAACTCAGGGCCTGCATGCTGTCCCTGAGCTGGTTCCCACCACCCCCCCCCCCAAGGTTAGCACTCTTTCACTTGAGCTACAACTCCATTTACTACTTTTTTGGTGGTTAACTGGAGTAAGAGCCTCATGGACTTTCCTGTCCAGACTGGCTTCAAACTAGGATCCTCAGATCTCAGCCTCCTGAGTAGCTAGGATTACAGGTGTGAGACACTGCACTTAGCTCAGTCAGGTTTTTTAAATGGAAAAAGCAGCCTTTTTCTTGAGTGAGTGGAAAAATCTATTAGGCTATCTGCAATCCTTATTAGTCTGTATAGCAAAGTTGTGAGAATAAAATTTCAGAGGCAATTAGTCAATGTTTTTGTGTGTATTTGCCAGTACAGGGGCTCAAACTCAGGTCCTGGGCACTATCAGCTTTTTTGCTCAAGACAAGGCACTCTACCACTTAAGCCTTAGCTCTGCTTCCACCTTTTTTTTTTTTTTTTTTATAGTTAATTGGGGATATAAAATTTTCTTCTGCAACTGGCTTTGAACCCAGATCTTCAGACTGCAGCCTCCTGAGTAGCTAGTATTAGAGGCATGTCCACCCAACTCCCAGCTTGCTTTCTTTTGTAGGAAGGAATATGCATGTAGTGGGAAAGGCTAGATATCTTTTTAAAGAACTAAAAAAGAGCACTGGGCTAGGGATGTAGCTCTGGGGTAGCTAGCTGTATGAAGACTCTGGTTTGAATCTCCAGTTCTACAGCAAACAGAAGAAAATCCAGCTGAATTCAGTTAGACCAGAGCCTTTTGTTCCGTTCTTTTGGTTCTGCTTTGGTTATTTCCATGCACTTGTGCATTTTTTTGTTAGTTAATCAGAGGTAAGTGTCTCATAGACACTTATCTGAATCCCGAAGTGGATTCTCCTTGCTCATCTGAATTCCTATGTGGATACTTTTTTAAAGAGAACAATAAATGGGTTTTATATTTTCATAGATAACTGCAACAGACTTCTCAACAGG